AAATGTCAACAACGGAAGAACAAGAACAAGGACCGAACAAGGAGCAATGGTCTCAAATTGCAGTGGGGGAGGTTTAGGTTGGATATTAGGAAACACTTTTTCACTAGGAGGGTGGTGAAGCACTGGAATGGGTTCCCTAGGGAGGTGGTGGAATCGCCTTCCTTAGAGGTTTTTAAGGTCAGGCTTGACAAAACCCTGGCTGGGATGATTTAGTTGGGGATTGGTCCTGCTTTGAGCAGGGATTTGGACTAGATGACCTCCTGAGGTCTCTTCCAACCCTGATATTCTATGATTCTAACATAAGAACGGCCGTACTGGGTCAGACCAAAGGTCCATCTAGCCCAGTATCCTGTCTACCGACAGTGGCCAATGCCTGGTGCCCCAGGGGGAATGAACAGAACAGGGAATCATCGAGTGATCCATCCCCGGTTGCTCATTCCCAGCATCTGGCAAAAGAGTTTTGGGCTGGACTGAAACATTTCCAAATTTCCAGTGAATTGAAAAACCAAAACAGATTTCGTTTTCATTGCTTTGTGAGCATTTTTAAAGGTTTCTGATTTCATTTCAAAATGTACTTTCATTTTTTTAAAGGCCTTTCAAACCCCCAAAGGAAAATGTTTTATTTTGAAAATGGCCCTTTGGATTCAGAATTAAAAAAAAAAAAACCCACTTTTTTTCTAAATGAAAAATTTGGTGAAATTGACGCATGTTCGAGGAAGGTTTCGGTGTTGCAGAATCTGCATTTTTCACCAGGAAAAAAGTGTGTGAATTTTCCCCCCAGCTCTCGTCAGTGCTTAGTGCTCATAAGAGCCTGCATCGAATGCTAACTGAAGAAAGCTGGGAAGAGAACCTGCAATGTACACTTGAAAACACCAGGGTGAGAGAAGATGGAGGCGGAAGAAGAGACTCCAGTTTAGTGGCACTGATTGCTGGTTTGCTTCATCCAACACTCACCAGCAAGAGGCTCTGGTCTCATCCTCACTCTGGGGTATCCATCTTTCCAAGAAACAGTCTCCCACTGCCTCTTCTGCCCCTGCCACCGTGGGTGGTCATGTCCCCTCACCAGCAATTATAATACACTGCTATTTACTGAGCTCCACGGGTGCTCTCTGGCTGGAATGGCAGGGCCTTGCATGTTCGGTGGTGCGGCCCCAGTTCTAATCAGGCTGTCTATATTGACGTGACCAGATTTCACCCCCATCTCCGCTGGGACTTCCCGTCATACCCATCAGCTCAGCGTCCCATACGACATCGAAGCTGCGGAAGATTAAGGAGCAAAAGGAGAAATGTGCTTTTCTCCCTCCACTCCTCCAGGCCAGAGGATTCGAGATTATGGAACCCTTTGACGGGCACTGACTTCTCCTTCCCACCCTGAATCGCAAAGGGAGAGGAGGCTGCTCCCCTTGGCTTTCTTCCTAATATGTGCGTCCACAGCACTGGCGGTCTCAAAAACAACCCTGTTTATCCACTGGAATAACTGCAGGGGGCAGTTCGCATCTCTGGCTATCTGAGGCCTGATTTTCAGAGGCTCTGAGTTTCCATCAGGCCAGATTCTGAATCCCATTCTCCGCCCCTTACTCCACAAGCAAGTGTCCTTGACTTCATTGGAGTCCAGTGCTATTCAACAGAAGCTGGACGTGACCGTGAGACGACATTTCTTAATATCAACGGGCATCAGGGACTCTTTGTTCTGCATCCGAAGAAGTGGGCTGTAGCCCACGAAAGCTTATGCTCAAATAAATTTGTTACTCTCTAAGGTGCCACAAGTATTCCTGTTCTTTGTTCTGTGTTTGTACAGCTCCAAGCACGATGGGCTCCCGGGTCCATGACTAGGACTCCTAGGATACGTCTACACTGCAATTTTTAGTCCCGCCAATCCAAGTCAGCTGACCCAAGCCAGCTGCCACCCTGCCTTCGATTGCAGCGTAGAAGTGCCTCTAGGGCTAGAAACGACTAAAATGAAGTTAATGGAGATATCCCATCCCCTAGAACTGAAAGGTCATTGAGTCCAGCCCCCTGCCTTCACTAGCAGGACCAAGTACTGATTTTGCCCCAGATCCCCAAGTGGCTCCCTCAAGGATTGAACTCACAACCCTGGGTTTAGCAGGCCAATGCTCAAACCACTGAGCTATCCCTCCCCCAAAATACCAATAAATAACCCCTCTCTAAACTGCTGTGTCCCGAAATCCCCTCCCACTGCCATGTCCCCAGATCTGCCGGGCACCCAAATCTCCTGCCACTGTGCTGGATTTACTGGGGAGGTGATATTCAAACCATCTCCCTGCATCAGCTGAACAGGGAGAGGCCACTCTGGGAACAAGGTGGTGGATCTGCACAGCCCCCTTCCCCCAGTGTGGACCAGGCCCAGGGGAGCTCCCAAGAGTCCACCTGGCTTGAGCCAGAGGAAATGGGGAGTTAAGGATGTGCAAGGCTGGGGGAGCTGCAGGGGGCTGGGGGGGAATGTGTCTGGGTGGATGGCACTGAGTAGCCCAGACTGATGGGCCTGGTTGCCGTCTCTATAGAGGGTTGTGTATTGTCCCATCAGATGCAACTTAGCAGCCATTTCAGTCTTTTCAGAAGTTTAATTGTTTAGAAAAGCTTCCCTTCCCCCTGTTTAAATCTATATGCAAAATCACCCCGGCTCCTCTTCCGGCTCCCTGCCAGCTCCGCCCAGCGCTGTAATCCCCCAGGAATTAGAAGAGGAAAGAATTGATATTAGGAGCATTTAAACAGCTGTTTTAGTCAAGGATTTTACAATGCCGGCAGCCAGACTGGGAAGGGTCTGGAAATCCAATATCCTGGATCCAGATGTCCTTTGCTCTGTGTCACCTGCACATGGCAACACACACAGGGAGGACACACATGAACACATGCTGAGGGGCAAAGACATTGCATCCCTATGCCCTTTAACCCAAGCCTCCCCGTTCCCCCCCGAGAAAACAGTGTCCGCGAGGATCCTCAACTGCTTTACAAACTATACACTTCGGCCACCTCTGGGGTGGACGCCTTGTTACCAGCCCACAGCAACGCTGCACATCAGAAGCAGTGGAGGCCCAGAAATCAATCAATCTCTCATCGAAGTTCTTACCAAAAAACTTTCCGGCCAATTCTTGTGTCGGGAAAACTTTTGTTAAAAGAGAAAAGGGGGGAAAAAAAACACCCGAACAGCTCATTAGGAGACGAGAAAAAGCGCAGCAGCATGTGTTCCTCTGACGTCACCACGTGCTAATTCATTCCTGATTTACCATCCCCAGCGAGGATAAATTCACAGGCACACGCCCCCTCCTGCTGTGAGATCAGCCCTCCTGGCCAGGAAGCAGAGGAAGACAGACAATTACGAGGCTCACCCGCTTCCCTGCTGCTCCCATTGTCAGCACAGGCCAGTGGACAAGGCACTGCACTGGGGCCCAGGAGACCTGGGCATTATTCCTAGCTATGACCTGCTATAGGACCTTGGGCAAATCACTTCCCCTCTGTTTCCTTCCTCCATTCTTTGGAGTTCAAGTTATTTTGGGGCCTTGTCTGTACACACACCTTTTATCCCTTTGGCTATAACTGAAGCGGTACAATCCTCACTAGTGTGGACGCAGTTGTACCAGCATAAAAGGTGCTTTATACCAGACTAGCTACTCCTGAATGGGAAGTTATAGCGGTAGAAGGCATCCCACCCCATGTTTGTACAGCATCTAGCGCAAGACAGGCCTCACCTCAGCTGAGGCCTCTAGACACTTGCTGTACCACAAATCCTGACTATTCCAGAAGGATCCTGACGCTCTAAGGGCCCCTCTGCTCCTCAGTGGGGCTTTCACCATCAGAGATGATCCAGCTCCAAATGGTTCTTAGCACTTGTCTTAAAGTTGCTAGGGGCGCTATTGCTGCAGGAATCCCAGGGCAGCCCTTGTCCCGAAGAGATTATCAACTCAATAGACGAGTCAGATAAAGGAAGTCAAGTATCCCCATTTTATAGATGAGGCCCAGAGAGGTTAAGGGTCTCACCGGGAACCCGTGGCACAGCCAGGAAACGATCCCAGAGCCCAAGGATGGTTCCTTAACCACGACACCATCCATTCCTTTCCGTGGTTCAGGGTTTGATCCAGATCCAACCTTTTAAAAGAACAGAAGATCCGCTCAGATCCCAGTTCCTCCGGCACTTCTTCGCGCCACGCTCAAAGACACCCAGCCAGCACAAACACACAGTCCATGCGCGCAGAGCTTTGTTACAGCAGAGCATTAACAAATCCCAGGGGGGAGGGATAGCTCAGTGGTTTGAGCATTGGCCTGCTAAACCCAGGGTTGTGAGTTCAATCCTTGAGGGGGCTATTTAGGGAACTGGGGTAAAAATCTGTCTGGGAATTGGTCCCCCTTTGAGCAGGGGGTTGGACTAGATGACCTTCTGAGGTCCCTTCCAACCCTGATATTCTATGATTCGCTCGGCTCGTTCCAGATAAAGTTGAGAGGGGCTCACGGTTTGAACAGCCGCCTTTTCGAAGTCCTCTCGCATCCACATTCTGACTCAGGTGGTCTTGGAAAGCACTGGGCGGCATCAAAGTCCAGGGAAGGGGGAGCAATCCAAAACCGGGGCTGTTTGAATAAGTGGTTCCCGAGATACAGTGCCCCTGAAGAGAGACGTCAAAGGGTTATGGTCCTGATAGGCTTGTAGGTGTCTGAAGAATGAACGTTACAGCCCTGCCTGCAATGTGATGGGATTCGGTCCCACAGGAAAGGGCAGAATTAGAGATGAATTCAATGGGCAGGGGAACCCGTTCCTCCGATTTCACCCCCACACCAGCCGCGTAAATAAATCAATAAATCCAGCATGTCCCAACCAAGAAAAAACCGGCCAAGATCGTTAAGGGTAAAACTGGCTGGAATGAAGATGATGTTCCGCTTTAGATTTATTGCATGACTTTTACGATCTCATGATGCCCATAAAACCCCCCCCAGAGGAAATTTCAGATCATTGCCGAGAGTTGTTAAAACCAGACAGCTGAGCGTCCGGCTGCACGCAGCGATTTGAGGGCTCAGAGCGGCGTCGGAGGGATACAAAGCGCTGTTCTGAGCTGGCAGACATAGGGAATCAACGTCCCGAGGAGAAGAGAACTGAACTGCCCCTTTCCAGAGCTCCAAAAGAGGATCTTCTATGGCGGCGAAGGAATTCTCCCTCTCAGGATGTCTTCAGACCAAAAATGAGCCCCTTTCTGGAAGTGCGGAGCTCAGTGTTTTACCAAAGAGGTCAGTATCATTGTCACTATTGTAGAGATGGGGAAACCAAGGCACGCAGGGGGGCCAGGACTTGCCCAAGGTCACCCAGCAAAGCAGTGGCAAAGCTGGGGAACAGGAAGAGAGCAGCAAAGGCGTCTTGTGTCTCAACTGCCCTGTCCTAAGCGCGTCCGGTTTCCTGTGCCCTGTGGCACATGGGCACCCTCTGAGGTGCGGCGGGCAGGAGGAAACGGCTCACGCCAAGGGATCCGGGCAGGATATGATTGTGGTCGTGGGGCTTTTGCATTTTCTCTCTCTCTTTTGCCCTGTCACGCTCCCGTCTCAGGAAGCGCACTGGCGAAGTAGCTTGTCGAAGAGCTTCGCCCGCCCTGCCAGGAGAGCTGCCGAAGCCTGCGGTTGAGCTGCCTTGTTCAGCGCGGAGGGAGACCCCAGCCGGGGTGGGGCTGTCCGAGGGTGTTACACAAGTGGTGCCGCTCAGCAGCTCCATCTGTTCTGAGTCAGTGCTCAGCGGCTGGGGACGGGCATCTTTCAAGCCACTATCGCCCCGAGCTCCTCATCAGTGATGACATCTGAAGCGGGTTCTTATCCACATGCCACCTGGACTATTTAGACTGGGCCTGTGGATGCAGTATCCTTCCTGCCCTCCACTGCGCTGCTGTGTCCTGTTAACCAGAGCTCCCCTTTCAACTCAGCCTGGGCTGTCTTTCAGTTGGAGAAAGCAACAGAGGGTCCTGTGGCACCTTTGAGACTAACAGAAGTAATCTATCAACCTCATGAAGAAACTTGCACAAAACTTCTGTTAGTCTCAAAGGTGCCACAGGACCCTCTGTTGCTTTTTACAGATTCAGACTAACATGGCTACCCCTCTGATACTTTCAGTTGGAGGTGGGTGGATTTTTTTACAACTAGCTAGACCCGTAAAACTGTGCTGGGGCATCTGTGATCCCGGGGTTGGGAATCAGCCAGCCAGGAACCTGACACTGTCCCCGGAGAAGTCACTTCAAGTCAGCCGTGCCGCAGTCTCCCCACTGGAAAACTGGGGCTAACGATTCTTACCCGCCTTTGTCAATCGCAGAAGCAAGTTGCTAGTCGGACAGATCTTTGGCGGGTGAAGGTGTACCGTAGTATGGGGCCTCCAGCTAGCGGAGAAGGGGGGTCAGACTCACCTCTGCCCTATTTTGAAGGCTGAAATGAGACTTAAATGGTGCATAAGCCTTTTGCCTAGGGATGAATTTCATCCCAACCCCCTGCCAAGAGCTAGTAGCCGCCCGTAGACATCCAACGGCTGGTTGAGAAACTGTATTCATTCATTCTGGATCAGCTGGCGTCAAGCCACGTAGCTCCGCTGCGGCCTAACTACGCCACCTGATGCCAGCCGAGAATCTGACCTAGAGGAAGCTGTGCACATACCATGGGCTAGGATGACCATATTTTCCCAAAGGGAAAACAGGACACCACATGGGGCTGGCCCGAGGCCCCCTTCTACCCTCCCAAGCGTGGGACGGGCTCGAGTCCCCCCTGCCACCCGCCCGCACAGGAATGGCCTGAGGCCTCCCTCTACTCCCCACACGCAGGGCCAAGCCAAGAATCCCTGCCGCCCACCCCGTGTGGGGCTGGCTTGGCCTGAGCCCCTCTGCTGAGCCCTCCCTCCCATGCAGGGCTGGCTTTGCCGCTCGCACCCTCCCCCCGCACGTTCCTCCATGCCCCGCTAGGGGTCGCACCCCACTTTTTTGGCACAACCGGGCATTTGTCCCGTTTGCGCTTGCCAACAGATGATCAATTGGCAAGAGCAAACGGGGAAAAATGCCCAGTTTTGACAAAAGAGTCGCATCGGCCAGGACAGGGCTTAGAAAAAGGGGACTGTCCTGGCCAAAACGGGATGTAAGGTCACCCGACGCGGAGCTCAGTCCTGCCAGATGAGATTCATGCCGGATTCTGAAGATTTTATTCAAGCAAAACTCCTAGCCAGAGCAGTGATCTTGGGCTTTGGTCCCCTATAGATATCATGCCAGATCCTCCGTTTGTATCAATCAGCGGAGCTCCCTGGATGTTAGTGTAAGCGTGCCGAATGAACACTCTAGTAGGGGAGGTGTCAGTGACAAAGATGAACGCACAGCAACATTTTAGTTTCAGGCCACACATGCTTTATACTGAGGTCTCATTTACAAACCATCTATAAAGGCTTAATACAGGATTCATCGATGTGTCAATAATTGGCTGATCACTTGTTAAGAGAATCCAACGATTGCGTCTTACCAGGCCGCATAACCGTCTTTAACCCTTCTATGCTGATAGCCCGCTCTAACACATACAACCCACGCCCATGCTTAGAACATCTGTCAACCATTTATTAACCTCTCCTTTGCCGTGCTGCCTACAAAAAACTTGACAATGGTTAGGCAGCTGGTGTAACGAGACCATAATAATCGCCAGCTCTTATGTAGTGCTTTTCATCAGCAGATCTCAAAGTGCTTGACAAAGGAGGGTTGTATCATTATCCCCATTTTACAGATGGGGAAAACTGAGGCATATATCAATATTGTCTCAATGATTCCTTGTGCTCTCCCACCTGTCTGTCTCCACCTGTTGTCTCTTGGCCTATACTTAGATCGTAAGCTCTTTGGGGCAGAGACCATATTTTTGTTCTGTGTTTGTACAGCGCCTAGCACCATAGGGTCCTTGCCCATTGGTTCAGTGGAGATGCCCCTAATTTACACCAGCGTGAGCGAGACCAGAATCAAGGCCTGTATACCTGTCAGGAGCCGAGTGTAAGTATATCCAGTCAAGTGCAGCTGGAGAGAAGTTTCTTTGCATTGCAAAATGAGCAGAGCTGGACGGAAACTGGAATTTCTGTTCTGTGAGAAATTCCAACAATTTGAAAAAAAAAAATCATTTCACATTGGGAAACAAAAAATCAAAAGTTAGGAATTTCCCGCGGCATGAAAGGTCCAGAATTTCTGATTCAGGACTATTGGAATATTTAAGTTCATTAAGGTAAAAACATTGTTTCAATACTGTTGAAACATTCTACTGTAAAATACGAAAAGTAGCCTACGAAACATAGCATATGACATCTCATTTAATATTAAAATAATATTTTAATATAGTATAAAAGTCAAAATGGCACAAATCAAAATGAGAAAGTCAAAATTAAACATCCGGACATAATTGAAATGAGAAAGGGAGACTGATTCTTTTCCCTGTTGAAAATTTCATCGAAATTGACACATTCCTACGCCACCTGTCAATTTCAGCAAAATGGCGTTCTCCGATGGAAAACTCCCCCATCAACGTTTTTCCGACCAGCTCAAGAACTGAGCAAACATGTGCCTAGACGGTCAGGCAGCTGGGGCCAGATGCGCAACTGATGGAAAACCACCCGTAGAAGATCTGTGTAGATCCTGTTGTTATTAACAATAACCCCATTCAAATCCATTTCCAAAAGGAATCCTGATATGAACGGCAGCCCGAAGTTTGGCAGCGGTTCGGGTCTCAGGCAGGAATATACAGGACTGTGAGACAAGTAGAGGATAAACCAGTGGGGCTGTTTCTTAATAAATCACTTTGTTCCTTTTTTCATTATTAAAAGAAGAACAAAAGAAAAGAAAAGAAAAAAAAAGGGTCTAAATTCAGTCTCAGGAATAAAAATACCCCGTCGGACGAATTTGCATCTCACTTTTGCTATGAAGCCAGCTCTTACGGAGGTGGTCAGGGAGGCATGACAGCAAACCGCAGCTTGGCAGAGCTGGGCCCCTGCCACCTGCCCTGGCAAAGTCCCGGGGAAAGAACCAACAAAGCCAGCTAGAAATAACTGCCCAGTCATTACACACACAAACGGGCACCAGGCGTGCCCAGAGACACCCAAACACGGCACCCTATCCCCACTGTGCATGGATTGTCAGTGGTAATAGGCCAGTGTTTGTGCATCAACACATTCACAATTATAGGGCCAGATCCACAGCTGGTGTGAATCAGCACCATGAAAGTCAGCGGCCGCTATGCCAGTTGACACCAGCTGAGGGTGTGGACCTGTTAGCTTTACAGACCTGAATCACTTTCCTCGTGTCACTGAAATGCAGCCAGCTCTGGGAGGGAATGCAGCAGCTGTTTAACAGCGCACAGCGACCGTACACAACAGTTTAGGGCAGGAAGCGAGAAAGGATCCTAAGTGACTTGCCCAAGGTTACACAGGAAGTCTGTGGCAGAGGAGGGAGTTGAAGGAATGTCTCCCAAGACTTACATAGTGCCCTAACCACTGAGCCATCCTTCTCCTCCACTGATCTGCTGTGGGACCTTGGGTGAGTCACTTCCCCCCCCCCATGCCTCAGTTTCCACTTCCATCCTTTGTCAGTCTTGCCTACTTCTCTTGTAAGCTCTGTGCGACAGGGGACTGCCTCTTGATGGGTGCGCATACAACGCCTACCACAATGGGGCCCTGATCTCAACGGGGGCCTTTCCGTGCTACTGCAATACGAACAATCCACGATCAAATAAAATGACAGTCACAGCTGGCAGAGGGCCCCATGTGCGGTATAGGGAAAGGGGTGGTCTGCAGCCCCCCAGCACCAGCCATGGAATTCACTGTGTGCAGGCCCTGTTCCTGACGAGCATGGATCCCAGGGATGCAGAGAGCTGGCAAGCAGCCCCCTTAGTATTAGTTAAGAAGCAAAGCCAAGGGAGCGTGTGTGTGGTTGATGGTGGTGGCATGAAGAGGAGACCATCAGACATTAGCTGTAAACCCCCCCCGCACCCTTCCCACCTCTGCTCTGCCGGTATCATGTGTTCGAGTCATTTTCCTTTGCCCTGGTCCCCCGCGGACTCACAGCTCTGCTTGTGAAGAGGCATTGTCGATTCAGCGCGATATATCCTGAAAGCAGGCAGCTGTTCTGCCGGAGAACTTCCCCCTCCACCCCGCTCGGGAAGAGTTGCCAGTTAATTATAACGTTAGGAAACGGCAAATTATTCAGTTCTGGGGCTGACATGTTGACTCACTCTGGGGGTGTGTGAATGCCACCTCCTGCCTGGCCCCCCCGGGAGCACCGAGCCCTGGGCCCTGGCCTCTCTCATCCCTTCAGACAGGAGCCTTCACATTCGATCACGAAGGGCCGTGGATACGAGGCTCGTTCGCTTTCAGGGTCTCTGGTCAGAGCTGGCCCCAGCAGCTCGGAGCTTTAACCCTCTGTCTGATCAGACCTTTGGCCTCGGTCCAGGCAGCCTCTACCTGCCAACCCTCCCTTCTCATTGGGGGGGAGACGTAGCAGGCCCCGGCCAGCTCCTTGTCCTATTAGATTCATCTCCTGCTTTGGTAATCGGCTGGATTAATAATCAACTGGTTCTCACGTCTTTTTTTGAAGCGAGGTTAACGCCAGCACAAGGGGGCAGGCACCATGTTGGAAATCTGGCCAGATGACCAGCATTAATAAGCACCAAGGATCTTTAACTGGCGTGTTCGGCTAAGAACCGTGGATATTCACATCCAAAAGATGACACCTCCAGTGCCATGGTTAAAATGCCACCTATCAAGTGACCAATTCCATATGGGCTTTCTCCACTCCGAAGTCTGATCCTTCCTACTCTGGGAGATCTAATGGGATAACAGCTTAGGAGACCTAATGGCATGATAGCTTGGGAAATCTAACAGGCTCACCGCCCAAGGGACCCTGACTAAAGTGAATTTAAAAAAAAATCAGTATTGTCCATAAAAAACTTCAAAGGAAGCAAGTTTGAACCTTGTCTCTCTCTCAACAAGTTGGTCGAAAACAAGATCTGACCTCACCCACCTTGTCTCTGGGGGGAAAGAATGAAATGTTTTCATTCCATTTAAAAAAACTGTATTTAAAAAAAAATAGAAAAAGCAAGCAATGAAAAACGTTCAATTTTCATTTTTTGCCCACGCCTCTCTTTCCATTTCCATGGGCAACACAGAGAAATGCAGAAAGGGGAGGGGGACAAAAAAGTGTGGGGGGGAAATGTGTTTATTTTTCCCATGACCACTCCCTTTCCGCCCCGCCACCCACCGAACAAATTCAACAAAAGCCAAAAATTCCACTGGAAATTTTCTTGTTTAGTCAAAAAGCCATTTTTCACCCTCCCCTGCCCCAAAAATGCTGTGAGGAGAAAATGTTGAGTGGCTCTAACTGTGACAGCATCCAGCAGAGCAGATGATAAACTAGACCAGGCTGGTTTGGCATTGAGATTGGCCATCCTCATCTCATGAGGACCACAATTCATGGGGCAATCCCCGAGTGCCTCCGGCTTTCGTCTGCACTGGAAGGAGCGCCAGAAGACCCTCTTTCATTGTGCTTCCGCTACGGAACTCCAATGCAGGGCGAGTTCACTTAGACTGGATCAAAACCCAAGCCAGGGCTTAGAGAGACCCCCCCAGATTTTGGGGGGTCATTCACATCAATGGATGGATGGGTTCTGTTTAGCTCGTTCTAAAGCTAGGCTAGAAATTCAGACCCAGCTCCAAATTGCAACTTCTCCGAAGTTCGGATGGAGGGTTTCGATTCCGGCTCATCTCGGGGAGAAAAACAAACCAAGAAGGGAAATACGGTGTCTACTGCAAAGCAATATAGTGTACAATCTGTACCTGCTGCCCACCCGGTCTTTCCTTAATGCTGACAGCAGCCGACAGCATATAGCAAGTGGGGAGGTGGTGAAAGAAAGGTTAAACAAATAGTTATTAGTAATAAACATGCCCTGCTTCTCTCTACGAGACTCTAGGCTGAGCCGTCTGTGTGCTCATTTTATGATCAGTGGGATTTGCAGACGGTTGATCTGTTCTTCAGTTGTCACTGGCTAGTGTGTCATTTGTTCTGCCTGACGACTAAATTACACACGCGTTTTGCCCAGACACCCCCTCGTGTGCGCACACGCGGATACTTGTATACAGAGAAACAAAGCGATCCCGATACTCAGTTGTGTTGGAGCTGGGTCGGTCCCAGCTGGGACCCTCAGAGTACCTTTCCCAGCCCTGAAGAAGAGAACGCTTGGCTCTCATCCCAACAGAAGTTGGTCCGATAAAAGATATTACCTGACCCAGCTCATCTCTCCAATATTCAATGCACTATTTCCCCACACACACACACACACCCGCTTTCAGCTCCCGCAATCACTGGACTATCTGGGACTCGGGGCTAAACCCCCTGAAATTAACCCTGTGCATTCCACAGAGGTCCTGCCCTCTCATCCAAGCGGGCGAGACTGGAGTTTCCCGGGCGCATCTCACAGCTGCAGCAGCAGAGGGGACCCTGGGCCAGGACAGGGCCTGGAAAGACCCCCTGCCCTGAGATGATCACTCCCTGGCTCTCACGCGGCCAGCCCTAGGGTCTGTGTCCCAGCCAGAGAGGGGAAGGAGCAGAGAGGGTTCCTTAATCTTCGGAAAGGAAGTGGGCTCTGGTTACCCGGCCGGGCGACAGCTTGCAGTGTAAACGGAGAGGAACAGGAAGAAAAGCTATTAACATATTTCAGCTGGTGCCATCCAAAAACGGCCAGCTCTGGGGGGCAGCATTCCAGAGGGTTAACCCCTTCCTGGTTCGGCTCCTAGGGTGACCAGACAGCAAGTGTGAAAAATCGGGACAGGGGGTGGGAGGTAATAGGATCCTATATAAGAAAAAAAAAATCGGGACCGTCCCTATAAAATCGGGACATCTGGTCACCCTATCGGCTCCACCAACTCCAGTCACTCACTATTCCTCTGCAATGGATTCCCTCTCCCCGCAAACGCCTCTGGGCCTGGATTTCTCAATCTGCACCCCCCTCGCTCCCCCACAGAACTATATCAATCCCCCCCCTCACAGCGGGCATTCGGCTGGGCACAAGCTGCCACTCGATTCCAGCATGAACACCCCCGGTCTTTGTTGAGACCCATTCTCTGGTTCTGCAGTGCGCCCCGTCTAAGGGCTGTGCATCACTGCTGCCCTCTACTGGATGAAACCAGAACCACCTCACTGCGTCGGACCTTCTACTGCCAGCAGTTAGTGGAGATTCTCCTTTAGTCGAAGCAGCCACAATCTTGGCTTCTAGGAGCTGGAGAATCGGATTCTGTCCCCACAGCTGCCAGCACAATGACAAGGATGAGTTCCTAGATGGCCACGGGGAGGTTAAATTATCTTGTCATCACCCAGCGCCTCTCATACCAGAGGATCTCTAAGAGCTTTGCCAACCGGCTTTAGCTCTCCCTCTAGCTTCGGCATTCCTAAGGCACTTTAAGCATCAAAGCGCTGAGGGCTGCAGCTGTTTGACAGGGCCCAGCCACATTCCACTGCAGTTTAGGACAGGAAGTGAAGAAGAATCCCAGCCCCGCTTGGAACGGCCGGGGAAGATTTTCGGGAGGCAGCTTGCAGCAGTCCCATTTGGAAGGCGGACAGGGCCACTGAGCGGAAGAAATCTTTGGAACATGTGCCATGGGCATCTCGAATGACCCCAAATGGCCAGGCCCCAGATCTCACCTGGAAAGCAGCATCTGCAAAAGCACAATGGAAAAACTCCGTTACCAGGCAGGGGCATTGGGTCAGATGTGGGTCAGATGGAAGAGCGCCTCCCACGGAATAGTCAGTGCCACTCCCTGCAGCTTCTTTGCAGTGCAGTCGGAGTTGTTAACAAGAGGAAACAAGACGTTTAGGCCCAGATCTTCAAAGGTATCTAGGGCCAGAGCTTCCATGGATATCAATCTAGGAGGCTTACTTCCTCGGTGGCTGCAAGGCAGTGCCACCTGACACTGGGAAAAGCAACGCTTGTGACCGTTATCACGATTCTCGCATCACTTAAAGTCCCAGCTCCTGGAGTCACGTGAGTATGAGAATCCCCCTCCCTTTTTTCTTTAAATAAAAGAAGTTCCTCGCCTTCATGGCTGGGGAGAAAAGCTTGGAAATGAGACCTCCGAAAAGCTCAAAATCCAAAAAAAAATGACCACCATTTTTGAAATC